AAATCCTGGTCTTTTGATTTCTACTCCCACTGTATCATAGTTTAACAAAAAAGAAAAATGTTTATATCTCTGATAAATTCTGTTTAAAAAAATAAACTTAAAGTGAATGTTGGAAATTAGTGTGTCGATGTTCTTAAAAAAGTGTTCTTGGAGTTAACCTAGGGCCAGGCGGCTCTCATTAGCATAGCTCAGTTTGCAGGGAAGCAGCTTTTACGTTGCCTTTTGTCGTTCATGCTGTACAATGGCAGAGTCTCCTGGATATTATTTATTCTGTTTTAAAGGAAGCATGCAGTATCTGTGGCCTACCTGCAGGGGGAGTTTTTGTAAATGTAGATTTTGATGTATTAGGTCACCCTAGTGATGAGGGAAAGGGGTCCCCAGCACTTCTGGCGGAACAAATACTGCAATAAATTTTTCTACTTCTCTTTGTTACTTGTCTTGTTTGCATCTCACTTTGTTTTGGGTTTTCGTTTTCTGTTGTCGGTATCGTTAGGCGAGTTTAAATGTCAGTTTGTATGACCTGTCTCTAGTGTTCCTTTTTCCATTTGAAAGTTTTTTTTTCCGTTTGTTTTTGAATTAAGTACCTACATCTGGAGGAGACGGGTGCAGGTCATTCAGATGTGAGCAGGACCTGCTGTGGCTCTGGGTCAGGCCCCTTGCACACGTCCCCACCCTCCCGCTGAGCTCTCTGCGAACACCCACAGTTGTTTTGGAGAGTGGAAGCCATGCTCTCTTCTCTGGAGGAAGAATTTGATTTCAGTGGAGGAACATCTGGGCTTCTGCTCCATCATTCAAAGAAACCGTGGGCAGTGTGTTCACTGTGTTCACTGTGGTCTTGGCCTCCATAGATATCCCTGGTCTGTTCCTCAAACCAGCCCATTGAGTTGAAATGGGTACCACACTGTTGTTGAAAGCCAGTGAATTAGTTATAATGCCCCATTTCTTCTCTGGCAACGTCCAATAGAGAATTTCTTGGCAGAAGACAGAAGGTGGGTTTTAGATTAAATTTAGCATTTGGGTACATTTTCCACCTCAGAATGTTAAGGAAAAAATATATATATATTTAATAAGAGAGATAGTTTCTCAGATAAGCAAAGTTTAATTCATGTCGGTAGCGGTGTAATGATGCACGTTGGCCGCAGACTCCGGCGGCGCTGTAGCGCACTGGCTCCTTGTCCCGCGTGGGTTCACCGGAAGCGCTCGCTCTGACTTTTCACCTTTTACTCGACGGCGTGAGGCTGGCGGGATACGGTGGAGGTTGTTGTGCGTGTTGGAATCTGAGAAGTCCTGCTAATTTTAGGGAAAGTGTAATTAAAACAAATCCGCAGCACTTCAATTCCTCATAAGACCGGGAATTTAGATTAAGGTAAGTGTACGGTTTGTTTAAATATGTCACCTTCAGTGTAATTTGGGGTCGTTAGGTTTTTGTAAGTCCCGCGTTTTGCCGGCACTTTGGCTGTACTGACCAGCGATTCCGTTTTTGCCACCATGGCTATTATACCTTCATTCAGCGACACTGGGTGCGTTCCTCGGGCAGTGCTGACCCGCCAGTGCCCGGTGCTTTGCAAAAAAAAGTGGACACCGGAGACAGGACGCAAAGAGAGGCGTCACAGCCATGCAAATATGCGCACTGAAAGTATTCTGACCGTACAAAGCAAATGTCCAAGATTTCGCTTTGTTTCATGTTGACATTTCAGGCATTTTAGATCCCAAAAAGAGTCACTTTATTTCGGGAAGGTCTGTGAGGTAACTGGCATATCGTGTTCTTCTGAGCTGTGGTTTCTGTCAGGGCGGGTAAATCACGCTTGTAGCTGTTTACTCGCATGTTACAGCATCTCACCATGTCTGATCAGTGCCGGCTACGCTTCTTGTCCAGGCTTATTTTGTTTCCCCGGCGATGCCGTCCAACTTGGGCACCAGCAGCTCCGCCGCTGCCCTGCACGAAGCGCTGGATAACGCTGGCCGGCTAATTGATCGTCACTTGCAGGATGACCGCTGCTTTCCTGACCTGTCAGAGCTCCTCAATGTTCCCGCACATAGTGAGTACCAACTGTCAGCTGCCGTGTTTATTGCTCTGGTTTAATAACCTTTCTGCTTGTCACTGCTTACATTCCCGTTTGTCTTGGTCTGCTCCTCTCCATCTCCGATGCAGACATGCCTTCCCTGTCGGGGGTGTCGGACATGGATTATCCACTCCAGGGCCCGGGGCTGATCAGCGTGCCTAGTCTCCCGGAGCTGAGTGCTGTCCGAAGGGTTCCCCTCCCCCCCGAGCTGGTCGAACAGTTTGGTCGTATCCTTCAACCTGCATTATTGTTAGAAGGCATAAATGAGAACTGCTCCTGTCCGCTGGTGCAGCAGGCTTCTGCCAGAATTAGGTGTACTTTAGTATCTAAGTAAAATTCTGGAGTTGCTGTAATATCCGAGAGCCTTAACCATGATGCCCCGCAGACATGCAGTGCAACTGCATGATGGGAGTTTTCCCTGAGATCAGCCGGGCCTGGCTCACTGTGGACAACGACATCTTCATGTGGAACTACGAGGACGGGTGGGTGCTGTGATGTCACTGATTGAGTTCCGGTGGGTGGGTGTCACCGGTGACGCTAACTTGGGTTCGTCTGCCCAGGGGGGACGTGGCGTACTTTGACGGCCTGAGTGAAACCATCCTGTCCGTGGGGCTGGTCAAACCAAAGGAAGGTGAGCAACTTCACAGCCGCGCGTTTCGCCGTTGGTATGTGAGGGCTGTCTGTGTCACCGTTTATGGCCGTCTCTGTCTTAGGCATCTTCCAGCCCCATATCCACTTCCTACTGGTGCTGGCCACCCCTGTGGATGTCGTCATCCTAGGCCTCAGCTTCCCCAGAGCCCAGGGAGGTGAGTCCCTCCCCTGAGGACCTTGCTCTGCATGCCTTGAGCCAAGGTGCAGTCGCTGTTTGCTGCATTTCCCACTTGCCTATCCCCTCACACCCCTTCCACAGGGCTGAATGACAGCATGGTGGGTGGCATGCAGCTGCTGCCAGACCCCCTGTACTCCATCCCCACGGACAACACCTACCTGCTGGCCGTGGCCTCCACTGACCTGGGCCGCATCTTCCTGGCGGGCAAAGATGGCTGCCTGTACGAGATCGCCTACCAGGCAGAGGCCGGCTGGTTCAGCCAACGCTGCCGGAAGATCAACCACTCCAAGAGCAGCTTGTCCTTCCTCGTGCCCTCCCTGCTGCAGTTCTCCTTTTCTGAGGATGGTGAGGCACTGTGGTCTGGCCCAGGGGGGTAGATCAGACTAGGGGTGGGAATTATGGCCAAAATGTTGTATCACAATATTTTTAGTTTGAATCTAAATGAATGAATTTTGAATTGAATGAATTTTTTTGCTTGTATGTTTACAAACCAACCAAATTGAAATGTGTATATAGTAATGCAGGTTGACCTTTTAACCACTTACCCTGTTATTCCATCCTTGCAAGAAATTCTTGTAGCATTATAATAATAGGTATTCATAGCCGAACATTTTGCATGCTATTTGTGGTGTTTACATTTCAGGTGGTTAAAATGAATGTTTGTGTTGTCTCCTTTTTATACGAACGGTATCACTGCAAAGTCTGTAAATTACAGAAGATTGGTCCATGTTGGATTTTGCCAATCATAACCACACAAGGCAAAGCAGAGCCTTGATTTGGAACCAGTTCTTTCTCATCAGCCATGCAGCACACTCGTCAACGTGGCAAACCTCTCTGCGGATTGTGTGTTTACCATGTGACACAAGTGCAGTATTTTTAGCAGTCTGATGGTATACAAAGTTTGTTTGCTGCTTTTTTTCCATCAAGTTGGGTAACTGGTTAGAAAAGATCAGTTAAGTTCAAGATATAGTCATTAAGTTTGATCCACTGAAATAGGTAATTAACAACGAATAGACATATACAGACAGAACTGGGATGTTATGCAGAGTGAAATGTTGTTTCACGTCGGTTTGTTTTTATTGTTGTACTGTTGCAGTCTCTGAACACTCAGGCATTGTGTGACAGGGGTTTGCTGGTTTGTTCTGTTGTTGTTGTTATAATTAGGGGTGTAACAATACATCGATTTGTATCGATATATCGATTCAACAGCAAACGATCCGATGCATCGATGTGACCACATAAATATTGATACATGCGTTTTTATTTCCTCGCCTGTTCCAGTGTTCCAACGTATACATGGTCTACGCCCAATATGTCAATTGCAACCTACTGGTCGATTGCAAAGGTAGTGTGTGTAGATCGTATGGCATAAAAAATAGAGGATGGATGACGCGTTCAACCACGCCAGCTGCTACAAGCTACCGAGTCGCCTATTTAGCTTCCAGTTTATTTCTACTAAACCTAAGAAAGGGTATAAAAATGAATGGGGGAGCTGGACCAAGTAAAAAGCCAAAAACCTGCCACTTCCATACGGAATGGGAGGAGGACTGTTGTTTTTCCACAGTGTCATATTCGAAGTGCGTTTGCCTCATCTGTCAGTCTTCCGCTGCTATTCGATCCGAAGAAGGGAAATGTAGAGCGGCATTTTCAGACTGTCATAAAAACTACGACATTAACTTCCCTCTGAAAAGCGAGCTGAGAAAGAGAAAGGTGAAGGAACTAAAATCCCAGTTCAATTCAAAAATACTTTATTCATCCCAAAGGGAAATTAATAATAATAATAATTAATATTAAAGAATACTCAATATTTTTTACATAAATATACGTTTTGCATTTTTATAGTAGGTAGATCATTTTGACTTGGTCATTTATAAGTAGCTCGCAGGCTAGCGTTCCTTCAGAGCATGTGTTTAGTATGACAGGTGACATAGGACACAATCTCCTGAACACGCTGACCATTTAATTTTTCTTTAAAAAAAAAAAAAAACCTCTCAAAGCAGAATACTGACGTACTTGTTTCACTGCAGAAGTCAGTCTGTTGATCTTCCTCATTCTACATGTCTGTCCATGCAGTGTTTTTTATTTGACTTTATTGCACTTTATTTTACTTGTTCTTGTTGTATCCCAGCACAGGGCGAGCAAGCAGGGAACGAGGAATCAGGGTCAGGCAGACGGAAATCCAACAAGGGGGGGGCGGGGGGTTATTGCAAGCACAGCACATAACATGGGGAAAACGTCAATGACAGATCTGGGCGACAGACTCTGATGTGGACTTAAATACACGGGACTAGATGAAACAATAAGAAACAGCTGGGAACAATCAGGATTGTACGCGAAGTTAATGAGGGGCGTAGCACACGAGAGGGTCATAGGAGCAGGTCATGATGGTTATGGACATACTTTTATACTTTTTGTTACACTTTTGTATTTATCTGGAGAAGACTTGATTTAAAATAAAATTAGTCACCATGTTAATCTAGATCCATCCAAAGTTTTTATTTTTACCTTATTGCACTTTATTTTGCCTGATTTATGGGACATACTTGACTACACTAGATTTTGTTTACAGTTCACAATAAAATATGATAAAATGCTAATTATATTTGCCTTTTTTAATTCATTGAAATGTAAAGGATTGTGTGAAATTTCATCATTTCGACTACTATCCCCAGTAGACATATAAGATCAGAAATGAATCGAATCGTATCGTGTGAATTTTTGAGGTATCAAAAAAAATCAAACCGTTGGCTTAAGGAATCGATATTGTATCGTGTTGCGAGGAAAGCTGTGATTTACACCCCTAGTTATAATAGTGCTGTATCGCAGTTCTGGTGATGACTATGAAAAAGTTATCGTGGATACAATTGCAA